CAGGAGCGAGAAGCCGGTCAAATGAGGCAGTACACATTGTTCCACTGTCAGCGTGACCCTGTGGATGTCAAGTCTGCACCTATCTGCTACTGTGGCTACCTTTCTTATCCTGAAAAAATTTGCTTTAGTTTTAAATATGCTTTCACTTTGCTTTATAAACATGTAAAATATACCAGTTTTAAAAGGTATGCAGTTTGCTTTTTTAATTATCAAATGTCTTTCATTTCCTTGGGTGATGTCATTATTTTTATCTTGAGGAGATTTTTATCTTGGCACAGTGAATTAGCCGTAAGCTGTATTTCTAGTGGATGCTAATCACATTTCAATTCCAAATAGTATGGAAGAAAGATTTTTCTGTCCATTGTCCTGGAGGCATCCCTTTGAAACAATGCAGTAATATTAAAAAGAATTACTGCTGCAGCATTGCCTTCATTGTGACAAAACTGGTTTGTTTTTGCTCTTCAAGTATGGGTTGCTCAAAAAACATCAGTGTGCTGCAGCTGTGCAGAGTCTGCGCCAAATGTTATCACTTTTCTTTGTCTCCCTGATCAGGAAGCTCTTTTGTTCTGCAAGAGATGAGAGAGGGGGATAAAGGTTTGGCTTAGCCTCTTCCAGTGGATATGAATGGATGGAGAAACGCAACTCTGCTTGCTCCCAGCTGGTTTCCTGTGTCTGTGACGTATTTGCTGTGACATCCCTATTACTATCCAGGCTTGGGTTTGACATGTCAGGGAGCAGTCTCTTAGAGTTGATCTCATTCAGCAGTCAGCCTTCACCCCACAGGATAATGCCTGCCTGGTTTGGCATGCTTCAATCAACATATAAACATATAGGGTAAGGACACAAAGCCTAAAAAAAATTTGAATTTTACAGATTAATCTGAATGTCAGACAATGGATGAATGTGTCATCTTGTCAGGGTCATTAAGTGAGACTCTGACAAGACTGTAATAAGACAATGTTCATGTAGGTGGTAGCAGTTTCCAAATATTGCAGCCTCACTGCTATAGACATAATGATTATGCTTTCTCGTTTGCAGGGGTGGAATATAACTATGCACATTTGCTCAAGTACTATACTGGAGTACAATTTTGAGGTATCTGTACTTGAGTGTTTTTAATTTTGTGCTACTTCATACTTTGACTCATTTTAAAGGCAAATATTTTACTCTTTACTCCATTTATTTTATAACTTGAATTATTGGTTACTTTTTACAGCCAGTTTAATATAAAAATTGCAGTATAATCAGACTTTTTTTTTCTCCAGAGGAAAATTTACGAGCTACCCAGCATATGCTAGTTAAAACTAGCTCCCCCTTTGTAGTGAATGGAATGAGCACCATAATGCATCAGTAATTATAATCAAATCATATGATACATTGTTAAATATGCCCTTCTGCTTGAGTACTTTTACTGGAGTACTTAAAGTACATTTTTATGCTAATACTTTTGTACTTTAACATTCTGAGTGCAGGACCTTTAATTGTAGCAGAGTATTTCTACACTGTTACTTTTACTGAAATAAGGGATCTGAGTGCTTCTTTCACCACTGCTTATTTGCATAAGCCATGTGGCTTATTTAGGTTCAGGTTCAAGGATTTTGTCAATTCATATGTGCAGGACATACAGAAAATCAGAGTACTGTTTCTCTCACCTAGTATTGGTTGACATAACATTTAGGAACTAAAAGAAAGTAGAATAAAAAGTAGAACAGAATTGGAACTGAATTGACATAACTAGGAGAAATATAAACAGTAAAGTCAATAAGCTGTGACTCAAAAGTGAGTACAGTCAGTGACAGTAGTGCAAACAATAATAGGAGATTGTCGGATGGTTCAGCATCACCAGGGTGTTGGTGATGAGGTGCAAATAGCATATAAGTTCTACACGGACAGTATTGCAAATGACCAACAGCAGTAGTTATCCCAGCAAAAAAAAAAAAAAAAGTCAGCAGCAGATTTACCTGTAATATAACAAAAAGGGGGAATGTATTGAGTTTGTGCCACAGCAGGGGTAGTCTTATGTTCTGTGGTGGGTTACGGTCCAGGGGCATAGGGAGGGAGGTAGTGAACAGTGTTCAGCATCCTCACAGCCTGGCGGCTGAAGCTGTAAGTCTGGTGGAGTGGGCCTGAAGACTCCGATACCCACTCCCTGAAGGCAGG